AACACATAAGGAAATAAGCCAGAGAACAGGTAGAAAAGGCAGACTATTCTACAGACTTCAGAATCAACTCCTAAATCAGTTAAGAGTACAAAGTATGTGGAGGGTAAATTAAAATACAAAACAGTTAGCAAATATGTTTTTTGGGGTGGCAAAGGTTTCAAAGCATATGATTTATGAAAAACAAATGGTCTTTGGAAGTAAAACTATGGGATATGACTAGTCTAGTGAACTAAAAGAAAGGTAAACATTGACTGTAGTGATGTATTTGAATTGCTACTGGGAAGACAGTTGCTGTCCCACTGGGTATTTAGTCTACATTTAAGCAACCCTACTAACTGAATCTTAAAAATGACATAGACCCAGATATCAGGCGTATCTGTGCAGTATTCAAAACCAATGAGAGCAGATTTCAAGTAATCACCAGCTACAGATTTTGAGGAGCAGCCCTCTGTCTGCAGCCCTCACTCTGTGGTTGGAGATGAACCCATCTGTCTACAAGTGCGTCTCCCCCCAGGCCTCCTCTCTGCAGGCCCAGGGATGTGGGCTGCATGCAGCTGACCACATTTGTTCTCTAGTAGAGGCTGGATGTGGGTGGATGGGCAGGGATGAGGACATAAATAGCTCCTAAGAACAATGGAAACCATGGAAATGCTTCAGGAGCATGGAATATAAAAAAGGAAGCACGAAATTAAAGGTGAAAAAGAAATGAATCATCACCAAAAATAAAAGGCAGATTGTTCTCTCTGTCCATCATATAGATATATACCTCCCTTTCTTATATACACACACGCAGACAGAAAGCAATATCTGCCTTACAGTACTAAGTGACAAAAGCAGATTACAGAATATATAAAAGATAATTCCACGTTTTTGTAGGTAAAAATGACAAATCACTGGAAATTTTATGTAGTCTCATATCTATAAAATCATAGGGGATAAAGACCTAGGCTTGTCTATATAAATTAACCTTAACAGTGGTTATCCCTTGGTGCTGGAATTATTCTTTTCTTTCTCTTTGTGATTATCTATATATGTATTTTTCATTTTGGATGTAGCAACTGCCTAGTAACTGTGTAAGTATAAAAATGAAATAAAATGAAAAAGGTAAAATGTGACCATTTAAAACACTTAAAAATGTTTGCATTTTAACTTGTAAATACACAAAAAGATGGTGAGACTGAATTATAATTTATCATCAATTTCCATTTACTCAGAAGGTTCCAATCAGTATGTTAGACCCTGGGAAAACTGCTATGATTTTTTTTCCCAAACTATAGCTCAGCTTCCACTGGCTCAAAATTGCAACATCTCTTACCTACAAGATATAGGAGAGACCCTTCTGAGACCATTTGTATATCATAGCTAGCGACCTCAAGGCCTCTTAGAGAGGTAGAGACTAAAAGTGACCACACAGATCCCATATGTGTTGCCTGGAAGTGATCGTAATCACAAAAACTCAAACCTCAAATAATCAAGATCTCTTGGAGTAGGGCCCAGGTATGAGTATTTGTTTAAAAATCTCCCCAGGTGATTCTAATATGCAGCCAACATTAAGAACCATGACCCTAATGGATTAATTTACTATGGGTCATTTGAACTTGTCCTTTGCAGAGAGGTAAAATTAAAGCAGTCTCTCACCCTGAGCCTTGTGAGAAACTGATTATGCAAACAGAATAAAAGATCATAGAGCACAGAGTGGGTACTTCTTGCAAACTTAGTGAAGTCAGTGGGTAGCCCTCTGTTGTGCTCACTGTAGAACAATCTCGATCAGATATTTCTTGGGAAAATGTTCTATGTTAGCAGATTCCTGTCAAGGTACCATTATTTCACAAAACATAGCAGAATCAAATTTTGATGCTAATGCCAGAGAACTAAAGCTCTCTTGGGCACCAGAGGTTTCCAGCTATTTCCATAGGAGGATACACATTGATACAAGACATGCTGGTCCCTAGCATAACAAGTTCCACTGTAGAGCAGTGGCCATTTGAATAATTTTTACTCTGCTTTAGGACACCATTGTGAATGGATTCTTGTAGAATGTGAAGGCAAGGGAGCCTGCATTCTGGCCTCTGCCCTGCTTTTTAACATATCAGGAAACTGAACTTTTGCTTTGCGTTGGTCTCATAATAGCAGAGGCCGGGACTAGATACAAGTTTTAATGTGCATTCAAGAACCCCCCAAATTACTAGAATTTCTTATTTGGAGTTGTGACTTCTCTCCAAGCAGCAGCACAAACAGGCATTTTTTTTTTTAACTCTGATGATGATCATGATAATCCTAACAGGTTGAAATTGTGTCATTAGCTATTGTTTATTGCATTTATTGATGACAAACATGTGCTAACCCTATGCTGCACGGATTGCCAGTTATCATGCATAATCATCAGTAGCAACCTTTAATGGGAAGTTTTATTCCCATTTTACTGTGAGAACACTGAGGTTACACAGACAGAACGTCGACAATTGAAGGTTTAAATCCAGTTCTGATCCTGAGTTTACTGATGCCATCAAGCCACAATGCCAATAACAGTGACTCCAGAGCTAGGTTAGAGGGGGAGATGCCTCACTCATGCCCCATGTGCCCTCGTTGCCCTTGATTTCTGTGTCTGAAGTCCAAGTCCACAGCCCTGGGCTTTTCAGCTACATTCATTCATTCATTCATTCATTCAGAGCAATACCTGATAGAACTCTACTCCAATTTTGTCATAGCCTGGCTGTATTAGATTTGTTTTCTGGGGTGTAGTTATATATCTCACCCTGTTTTTAATGGAGTTTCATTTTGCTCTCCAGCGTAATCTTCGTTCCTGTGGTTTCGAAGAAAGAAAATACTGTTAAGCTCAGTCAGAGTTCTAAACAGATGTTCTACATGTCTCCTTGTGTAGTTGTAGCAATGTATCACTTCCAGACATCTCAGCCTTGGCCTGCCAGCCTCGCTCTGCCCCATGCCAAATGCTTTCAAATACCGTGCAATAAGCAAAAACTGAGGTTAGCTTAAAACCACCAGTCATTTAATTCTGATTCTTGAATGCATTAGCATCTGGACTTCAGGAGGGACCACCTGCTCTCAGGAAAACTAGTGCTGTCACATCTGTTCAGTAAGGGAAATGCAATGTTCTCTCTTTTAAGAAATCTGACTGTAAAAAAAAATCTGACTATGATCATGTCAATATAAACAAGTTATTACTTTTATGAGGATTTTTCTTTTTAAAGAAAGATTTGGCAGAAATTACCTTTTACCACCTCACTTTGCTTTTCTATTTTAAAAAACAGTGGCCCAGGCTAGGTGTGACTCATGCCTGTAATCCCAGCACATTAGGAGGCAGAGGTGGGTGGATCACCTCATGTTGGGAGTTCTAAACAAGCCTGACCAACATGATGAAACCCCATTTCTACTAAAAATACAAAATGAGCTGGGCATGGTGGCACATGCCTGTAATCCCAGCTACTTGGGAGGCAAAGCAGGAGAATCGCTTGAACCTGGGAGGTAGAGGTGGCAGTGAGCCAAGATCACACCATCGCACTCCAACCTGGGCAATAAGAGTGAAACTCCATCTCAAAAAAAAAAAAAAAAAAAATAGTGGCCCATTTGCAGGAGTCTGATTTGCACACACCTTGTGAAAGTTACTTCCACAACAAATCAGATGGCAAAGCACACTAGAGCTGCATTTATAGCACACCGCATTTACATAATACAAGAGCATTCTGTAGAAACCATGCTAAATGCAGGAATGAGTTCGGGTGAGAAAGAGTCTATGGAGAACTCAAGAGAGCTGTGATGATCTGCCTGGGAGGGGTGATGGTGCAGTCAGTCAGATAATACATAAGTTTTCAAATGTGCACTGTGCCAAATTTGCTTCAGTTAAAAACATAATCCAAAATGACAGTCTCATCTCACGCAGCTCACCTTCAGGTAAACAGAGAAGGGAATTATGTAGGGTCCCCCTACCACTGTGTGAGCCTGTGAATGATTAGCAACAGCCTGGATCCTTGTCTACCTCATCTGATTAGACAGTGCCTGACTAGACAGTGCCTCATCTAAACCCCAAGAAGGGACTAATGAGAAGGCGGAAACACCATGCAGATCTTCTGGAATCTTGGCATAGTGTCTGAAGGGCAGGAACCTTGGGTTCCTGCACTGTCGTGGAGTTGTGTGACCAGGTTGGGGGAATGGGGAGAAGAGGGACTGTGGTGTGACACAGAATAAGCCACAGAGGCCCAGTCTCATAGTGACCTGCAAGATTAGATAATTTTAGTGATGGGAGATGGGACAGGAGACAGTGGATGGGGGACACTGGGGGAACTGAGAAAATTCCTCAGCTGAGCTCTGACTCCTTTGGCCCTGCTGAATGCCTTTTCTCTTTATCTACCTCATTTGATGGGTGCACTAAATCTGTGATTATAAAATGACACCTTTTCCATGGAGAGAGCTGGAACAGATTTTGGCAGATAATGGAGATGCAAAACAAAAAGAGTGATTTCTTAAAAACAAAGCTCTAACATGTTCACTGTGCCACACCCATACCTGGTAAGAATGGATAAACAGACAGAGTTGGGGACTTTTTAAACCAGGCTATGATTACTGCAAACCAAGGCAGGATCCCTTTAAATATTTACTTGCTGGTTCATATTTCTATCATGTAGAATGAAACGGCATCCCTTACCTGAGCAGGCTTCTGGCTGTATATGATAGAGTGACAGGCTGAAAGCTCACTGCTCTCCTCATGCTGATAAGAATCTAGCAAACACAACAGAGAGAAATGCTAGTAAACCCACAGGAAAATACAGTTTTAAATGATGAAGTAATCATCCTATTTATTATTATTTTTCAAAAGAGAATTAAAAAAATAGAATGAAAAAGAAAACTATGGACAGCGTCATTCCTGTTGTCCATAAAAATGGAGAAAATGTTTTACTTATAGAGGTAGATACAAAGTGATACAGAAAATATATCTGCTCCATGTAAATTTATTAAATGCAACTTTCTTTTTCTCTTTCTTTTAGATAAAAAACCTCTTCATGAAATAAAACCCCAAAGTAAGTTATTTTTCCTCTTGTGAATATAATTTATTCTCATATTTGCTGCCTTGCTATTGTATTTATTTAGGAGCTAAGCAGAATTGAAGTTCCTATGAAAGATCCAGGGCTTTTGGGGCCTCTCCTCATTGAGTTCAGAGTCACATATCAGCGGTTTAAATTTGAAAGAAATATGTACACCCCTCTCCTCCCTCTCAGTAAAAGTAAATCTCTCCTCTTGATTCTTTCTGCCTCTAAGTCCATTTCTCTGCAAATGTCATCTAGGATTCCTATTTCTGAAGAGATTTATCACATCAAAATTAATAAATATTTGTCAGTACACACTTTTTTTGAGAGCAGCCTTGGGCAAAAGCCTGTTAGGTCTCTCCACCTAACAGGAGTAGGGGGCGCACCTGAGAGCACAAACCCAACATCTTATCTCCCGTGGAATCCATGGCAACTGGGCAGATTAGGACCCAAAACTACATGGTGAAATAATTATGAGCTGAGGATTGGGATGTTGGTACTGGCTTAGGCTCCTTGTCCCAGGCTTGCTTCCCAGATAGGTCTTTGCATTCTCTTTATTTTATGCTTCCTGTAGAGTTGAAGAGAGGAGATGGCTGGAATGGCTAGCAATATGGCATGTGACCTTATGCTCTTTGGTATCACTTTTTACATTTCCCAATTTCCAGGCTGTATCAAGAAAAATCAGAATTTAAGGTGGAGGGTTTTAGAACCCAGGAATCTCTACTTTTAGAGCTCCTCATGTGATTCCAAGGTACAGGTGAGGCTGAGAACCATGGTCTTGGCAACATGTTTCTCAAAAGATAGATCAGAATCCACATGCATCAGAGTCTCAGGGTGTGGCCAGAGCTTGTTAAATTAAATATGCACCACCTCAGGACAGAACAAGTAAATTTGAATTACAGGTTGAGGAGCTCCTAAGAATCTGTGTTAATATGTTCCCCAAATCTTTCTCATACATCAGAAATATGTAAAGGATGCTAGGGAAAGTTCAAGATACTGGGGCAACATTAATACAGCTGTCATCAATAGGAGATTAAACAACTGCCTGGCTGCTTTGTAAAGCTTGTGAAAGATGTCCCTGCCTAGCATCGCTCATTCTAGTATACACTGAATGACTTTTGATCTTTTAAATCCTAGGGTATTAAAATTCAAAGAGCTTGGAAGAGTTAATAGCTATTATGAGCTAACTTCTTTAAGAGAATTAAGACCCTGTGAGTATAGACAGAAATAGGTACCTTGGGACAGGGGTCACAAGACATGAGGAGAAAATCCAGTAAAGCCATTCTGTTCCTATTTTCTTATGTTGCTTCAACAAGGCTGGAGATACAAAGGCATCATTACTTGCAGAGTCTGAGAATTTTGGAAAACAACAAAAATAACATTTAAACTTCTTTCCCTGTTCTCTGCTGCCCATTTTTTTTTTAATTATTACTACTTAAGTATTGGCCCTCCGATACTGTGCTTGTTTGATTTTGAATTTATGGGAAGACCGAGTTTGGGGTTACCTGCCTGTGTGTATGAGTGTTCATGTGTCTGTGCATTGAGGGAGGGAGAAACAGGTCACTGAATATTTGGCCTGCACTTGTGTCAACACTCTCAGGATGACAGGTGGAGTAAGTGGACTCTTAACTTTCTCGTGGCCACATGGTGCATGCTGTCCACTGATTCTGTCATATAGCACAGAAAAGATCATAGGTATCCATGTGGTGGCCAATGTGAGAGTTACTTAGAAATGCATGTGTGTGTGCTTTTAAAATTAATTTCATGCTTAGTTTGTGAGTCCTGGGCCATCCTAATTTGGTTACATCTGTACTTCCAGCCATAAACCCCAGAGAAGCTATTCCCAGTCCTTAGGGACTTCAGCATTAGTTTTTGCTTGGGGTTCTCGCTCCTGAGCACCATGCTTAATTGCTGGATACTGCAACAAAATCGCTTAAACTGTTTTAATTTGTGATTTCTCTAAAAATAAGACCTTAGAGAATCAATGTGATTGCAGAAGGCTCCCAGAGGAATCCATTCAGGGTTCTGTAAGCTGCATGGTTAGGAGTGCATTATATAAATTCAGGCTGCAGTTATTCAGTGAAAGAGGGGCTTAGTCTGAGACTACATGAATCATCACTGATGCAAAATCAAAGTCAATTATGAAGATAATTGAGAAACAACCTGTGCCTATATATAGCTGTGCGCATGATCTTCCATAAGGCCTGGCAGATAGAAAACATCACTCAGAGCTCTGCACAGAGTGCTCCATGAGCAGGCAGGAAGAGGCATGAGCTTAGAGGTGCGGGAGGTATAAAAAGAAAGGGAAGTCTTAAGATATCTGTTGGCAAATCATAATGACAAACTGGGGAAAGTAGGTGCACTGCATAGCTCATGAAAGCACTTATTGTAAATGAGATAATTTAATCAATTACGTTTCCTAATGTACTAAACCGAATGTTTCATTTTCTGCTTCTGCACATCTTAAATTATCTTCAGGTGCTTTATGAGATTTAATCATAGTTAATAGAAACTTCATTACCATCAAATGTGCTTTCAATAAATGTTGTGTAACAATGTCAGGAGGTGTGGTAAAATGTAGTAGGTTCTGAATGGCAAACACGCACCCCCAGAGTCAAACTGAAAAATGGTTGCGTTCAGACAATAAGACTCCTTGGAGGCTTGGAGTATGCCATTTACTGAAAGGCTGTGAGCTTCTGAGTAGCAGCTGGTTTCATAAGTTTACCTGAAGGGTTGAAAAGGATTTAGCTTTTCCCTGGAAAATAACTCATATTACACGTCTCTCTTCATCTCCTTTCCATGCAGTTGTGTACCTAACAGAGATCAGTGCTCAGCATAAACTCAGTTAGTAGTTTTAGAGCCGGCTACCTCCAGGACATTTTCAGTTGAATATGTACTAATAACCTTACTCTCAACTTTTTCAGAGTTGAATTTATCCTTCTCTTTCCCTATCTTTAATTCATTCCTCTTCCTATCTTCTCTATTTCAGGGAACAGTATACCATCAACACAGTGTGTAGGGCAGAAACTTGGAAAGCCTCCTAGATCCCTCTTAGGGATCTACGCAGGAAAAGGAAGATTTCCTTCACCTCCCTTTCCCTGCTTACTACCCAATAATTCATCACAATCTGACTATTCTGCCACCTACTAGATTTCAAGTTCATCAGCCAATCTCCATCTCCACTCTGCTCAAACCCATCCCTTCCTTCCTTCAGCAACTTACTGAGTGCTGACTTTGTGCTAGGAAGTGTTCTGGGTGGTGGAGAATCAATACTGAGCAAAACACATACAGTTTCTCCTTCTATCAAGCCCACAGTGTGAGGAAGGACAGGAAAAAACAAACCAGAAAACGCATAGTGCTAAGTGGACTGGAGATGGTGGTAAGTGTTAGGGAGAGAAACAGAACAGGGTGGGGGCTCAGATAGGGTCAGAGGGAGTGATGATTTTTGATGTGAAGAGTTCAGCTGTGTTTATAATAAAGTTATGTCGTTGGGCATGGTGGCTCACTCTTGTAATCCCAGCACTTTGGGAGGCCTAGACAGATGGGTCACTTGAGGCCAGGAGTTTGAGACCAGCCTGGCCAATATGGTGAAACTTCGTCTCTACTACAAATACTAAAATTAGCCAGATATGGTGGTGTGCACTTGTAATTCCAGCTACTTGGGAGGCTGAGGCAGTAAATTCCCTTGTACCCAGGAGGTGGAGGTTGCAGTGAGCTGAGATTACAGTGAGCCAAGATTGTACCACTGCACTCCAGCCTGGGCTACATAAGTGAGACTCTCTTATCTCAGAAATAAAAAGTTACGCTTGAGAAGAAACCTGAGGGGAGAGAAACAAGGAAACAAATATTCTGAGTAGCTGGGGGATGAGCAGACAAGACAAAGGGAACAGCAGGGTACAAATGCTATGAGGTGGGAGTTTGGCTGGAGTCTCTGAGGGCTGGCAAGGAGACCAGGATATCTGCAACAGAACCAGAAGTGAAAAACAGTAAGGTCAGAGAAGGTGGGTAAGGGAAGAAATCTTCAGAGTTTATTATAGGCCGCTGTAAGGACTTTGACCTTCACTCTGAGGAAGTTGGGAAACTATTCAGGGTTTTTATTCAGAGTGACATGATCTAATATGTTCAAGGATAAACTCTTAACTAGTGGGTTGAGTGTAAACCTATAGGGAACCAGAGCAGAAGCAAGGAGATCTGTCACAGTGACCTATTATAATGATAATCTGTTACAATACCTAGGCTTTTAGAGTAATCTGGCTTTAAGATGATTGTTGTTTGAGCCAGCTATATAGCGAGAGGAATTGTAAAAATGGGTCATATTCTAGATGTCTTTTCAAGGCAGAGGCAAAAGGATTTTCTGATGCATTGGGTGTAGAGTACAAGAGAAAAAAAAATGTTATGGATGATCCCAAAATTTTGGCTGTGCAACTGGAAGAATGGAGTTGGTCATTATTGGTATGGGAAAACCTTGGTATAGCAAACCTAGAGGAAGAATTAGGAGTTCAGTGTTATAAATTGTAAGTTTAATAGACCTAGTAAATATCTAAATGGAGAGGTTCAGTAGACAGTTGAGGTTGACCAGAGAGTCTAGAAGTCAGAGGACTGTGTGAGCTGGTACTATAAATTTGGGGCTTGTCAATATCCGGATGATATTTAAAGCCCTTAGGTTGGATGAGATCACTAGATAATGAGTGTGAATAGAAAAGAGGAAAGACCTGAGGAGTGAACCCTGAAGGACATGAACATTTAGATGTAGAGGAGGCCAGAAGTCACTGCAGAGAAGAAAGAAAAGTATCAGTCCATGGAGCAAGAGAAAAACCAAGTGTAAGGAAAACGGTGTTCCAGAAGAAAAGTCTAAAAATTCAGACCATCTTCACTCCCACACCAGGATTTCTAGAGTTGCCTCTTGGTGGCCAGTCTTGCCCAGCATCAGTTTATCTAATCTGTCCAAAACAAGTCCTGACTACATCACATCCCTGTTTAAGCCTTTTCAGTAG